ATAAAGGAGCTTCCCCGACTATGGCACGTGCGAAGGCTGCGAGCCGCAAAAGAGGCGGCTTATATTATTATAACCGTGGGCAGGTGGGCGAGGCACTCTATTGGCAGTGCTAACGAGGGATCGGTAATTATTACCCACGACTTAACTCCTAGCTGCTCGTGCAAAGACCTTTATTGTAATCGCTCACCCTTCGTCCTTTCCTTCTTCCAGAACGAATCTAGTTTGTGGGAATCCTATAACATGACTGCGGCTACCGAATTAATACGCATTACGATAGTACCATCACGCGTTTCCTGTATTTTCATCATTTCTTTTCAAATTTTAGGAATGAACTAGAAATGGGGATTAAACGTTATTGCTCGAGGTAATTGGATATTAATAATTGGATCTAGATTGGATTATTCTAGATTTTTGATAATGTTGGAAATTCTTAATATTTTTAATTTTAATTATTTTAATTATTTTCACTTTTTTAATTAAAAAGATAGTCAAAATTTTAACCAATATTTATTTGGTTAAAGCTAAGATTAAAATTAGTTTAATAAGTCCTTTTAATAATTAATTATTCAAAGCATTAAATAATTGCATTAAAGTTATATGAAGAGTTATGAATAAATTTGAACATTTTAAATAAAGTTATCATTTCAAAGAAACTTTATTCAAAATTTTAACTAATTAACTTTTCAACTAATTCTATATAGAAATATATAGAAATATAAAGATATATATATTATGAGATAAAATAATATTAAATTATTTTCAATAATTGAATATTTATAGTTTTATATTAATAATTCTTGAATTTAATTTAATTCTATATACAAAATTTAGTTATATATGATTTATTTGGATTCATAAAAAATTGAAATCATTGCTCTATTGAAATATATACTTACATATGATAGTAATTTATTTTTTTATTCTATAAAAGTAATTATTTCATATTGAATTCCGCGCACGTGTTCAGAGTTTGTCGTATCGCCAAGTTCGCAAGTAAGCGGGTCAAACACCGTATCAGATGATTTTCACGTTTTGATGGAGTTGTTGACCCTTGTAAAGGTACCTGCGTGCTGCTACGATTACACACTTTCAACGCGCTAGTGTGAATGTATATCTACCTGTCCGGTCAAGGTGGACGATCCATCATCGTGTCAACGGAGCGTTACACCGTACGACCAAGAATTTCTAACATCTTCCCCTCTTGCATATACTGGGTGTTCCATGTTACTTTATCAAAGAAATATTTCGGAATAATTCTGAAATATTAAAAAATAATTCAGACAAAGATTGAATAGTTTTTCAAAAGAAACGTAATATGATATAATTAATTTTTTTTACAGGAAATTCAACTTTGTTTTCTTAAATAAAATTACATATTTTTTAATGTATAAATAAATGCATTATATTCTGTATAAAAAATTAATTATTTATAATAATTTTAAATATATATATTAAAAACTATAGTTTAAAAATGAATTATACTTTATGACAATTATATTTTTTTTATGTAAGACACCCGATACATTTGTTTTTCATCGAGTTCAAATATTTTTTTGAAGTAGACCAGATAAATAATAATAGAATATCAAGAAATAAGACAAGTACAAAAAATAAAAGAAAAAAATAAGATAAAAATATTAAAAAAAAAATTAAAAAAATATAAATCTCAATATCGTCAAAGACTATTCCGTTTTTATAAAGAAAACTGAAAAACTAAATTCTAAATATAAAATTATTTAAATATTTTCAATGGTTTAAGTTCTGAATTAATTAATCATAAAACATTTTAAATTACAAATAATTCTTTCGTCAATATTATTTTTTCAATTTTACCGTTTACTATTTCCAATGTATTCCTCCTTCATCCTAGAGACTTAAGAACAACACAGGAAGCATTTTTCAATTTTCGGTTTCCATTCGGAACCCAAATGGATAATCACTTGTTTAGGACTGATCCTTGTGTTCTTGTTAGACAGCAAAGAATCCGGCGAATTAACGTAAATCCTTTTTAAATAATAAACCTTTTGTTAAATGTAATGAATCCATAGAGAATGAAAATGAGAGAAGTAGAGGGTGCCAAGGTATCTATTGTTGAGGTTAGGAACGACTGACCAATGATGGGATAGTGAAAACCGAAAAATAGACCAAGACTTTAGGTCGATACTCGTTGCTCGATGCTTAGCTTCGTTATTAGCCAGGACTTGGATATTTGGATACCCTTAATCCCTTTTCTACGATTCCATCGAGTCTAATCTACCTGACTGAACAGTGACAAATAATATCAAGTTGCCTGCCTCGACGCCAGCGCTATACTAGACCCACTATCTGATTTTAAAGGACGCGCCAACGAAAGATGATCTTCAGTTAACAAAAGGTGTCGAGTCCAAACCTGGATCATTGGTTAGAACTTTTCCACCGAAATCTGCAGCATCGTTTCACAAGAGAAAATATAATATGCAGTCTAGGACTATTTTTCTGATGTTTGTTTGCATTAGGTTAGGTTAGCCTAGTAACAAAGAAGCTTTTTTACAAAGATACGAAATTTTCATAGAAATGGAATATTATTGTACTTTTTTGCGAACAAAAAGAATTTATATAACATTAATTCTGAAAAATGTTTTGAAAATCAGTTTGAAATTATTTTGTGTTAAAATTTGAGAAAAAAATTAATAGAAGTATTATTTTATTTTAATTTATAAAAAGTATCATTTTTTAAAAATTTTTTAGTTTTTGCTCATGAAGTGCAGTGGTTGCATTATTATAATTTATATTTTTTTTACATATCTATATATAAATCCAAATTTATCTAATTAATAATATTATCGTTATCGTTAAATTCATGATGAAAATGAAAATCGTAAAAGAAAAAAATTATGATAAAAAAATAATCTTCACATACTTCTAAATTCTTTTTTCATTACTCAGTTGAACATCAAGTTACATATATATATATGAAATACATATTTATATACATATATTCATATGATTATATCATATACATATAAATTTGATGAAACGAAAGACTCAAAAGAAAGAAAGAAAAGACAAAAGACAGAAAAGAAGAAACACATACATGGCAGCAACTGAGAAAAATCTATCGTTGAAATCCTTTTCGAGTCAGTTCGATGAGAACATAGAAATGATACGCAAGAGAGATCGACGAATACAGAAGAATCACGAAGGGAAAGAGAAAAAAAAAGAAGCCAGTTCAACGAGTTCTAAGACGGTGGCGGCCTTTAAAAGATTCCAGATGCTTTGATGTTCGCCGCACAGCACTCCGCGCTGATCCATGCTGGAACGAGCGAATACCGAAAGATCGCTGGAAGATCATGAACAAAAAAGAATTGCATACAAACATCTTTTACTCTTTACTGTTCACGCAAATGCATGCATCTATTCAATTTTCCATATTTTTTTCATAATTTATAATTGATTAATATTCAATAATATTTCTTCAATCATATTCTTATTTTTTATTCTTCATCTTTTTTGTAAAAAAAAATTATAATTTATATGTATTAAAGAAAGAGAACCATATTACTTCAAAATGTTTTTCAGAAAATATTTCGTAATAATAGATAATTATATTAATAGTTTGATCATCAATATAGTTGAACAAGATTTTTTTGTGTTATATAAATTTTGCTAAATAACATTATCATAACATTCGATCAATTGCAAGAAGAACATCAATACTCATTAATGTTTGGTACATCGGTATTCGAATCGTTCCAAACAAAGATTTTAGTGACTGGGCCGATAACCATAAAAGATGACTGTACGGTGAACGTGCAGATTTATCAAAAATGATGACCATGCTGAGATCACTGGTCATAGAAATCATTGTAGATTCTACAATGTAGAAAAAGAAATTGTCATAAATAACTAAAAAGGAATAAATATAGTATTATCTTAATAAATGTAGTAGAATAATTTTAAGGTTAAGGTGAGAAGTATATAATGTGCATGTGTTTATGAATAGTTATTCATTTTCTTATAACTTTAGAGAGATTATTCTCAAGGAAGATGAAAGTAGTTAATTAATATCATAGTAAAATGCATTCATTTGATAGTTATCAAATTTTAACAAAAACATTTTTAAATTTCAGAAATATATAACAAAGAAACCAATATTTTAATTTTGAGTTTGAATCACATTGTACTCACAAAATCGTCAATTTTCAGTTCGAATAATCTGGGCGTGTGCTTTCGAGGACTTTTCACCAAAAATGAAGTGTTCATCGATACTCTTCTCTTGACAAATGTGTGCATTGTCGATGAATAGCATGCTTCCAGCTTTACAATTACACCGTTGGCCGTTCAATATAGGACGAGAAAAACCGGGACACTTTTCATCCATGGGTGCCGGTCGTTTTGAAAAAATGGATCGTTGAATGCCCGTAGATCCTTTTTACGCTCACAGTTCCTCCCTAGAGGATTGCTGGTTTCCTATGATTCGTCACTGGCGAAAACTTTTCTCAATGACTACACGAGGAACCTCGCTGAATATATGTAAGTATCCTGAACAACGTATCCATGAACGGGTACACCTGTAGCTACTGCTACTATTCTCGAAATAATTCCAACTATAATAATAAGCCTTGAGCCAAAACGAACATAAAGATGACGGTCCATTGACTCCGTTTTTTGTACGATTCAATAGAAACGAAACGAATTGTGCAGCCACGATGAATCGGCATAGTAGCTCTCTCTAGAGGTTAGTGGCTTCATGAATGAAGATGTCGTTGCTGCTTATGTAGAGAAATAACATCGAGTCGATCCTATGGTTGTCCATAAATTATGTCTTCTACTTCATTTTTCTATTTTTCAGAATATCTATTGATGATTCTTTCTGTTGGTTGTTTACCTGTACGACTGGATAAGACCGATGAAATCTCTCACGAAATTGTAGAATAATTTTATATCATTTTAATCAATTGAGTTTACAAAATAATTTTTTAAATTGTAAATTATAGATTGAAAATAGGTTAGATTACAGACGAAATATAGTGCATATATAATGCTTCTTCATATCACAGAAATTTATTTCTTTGTTACTTTTCGTATCGTATGTAATATTATTGATGTGATATCGTTAATACTTTCGACAATTAAAATTTAGTAATAAATATATATAAAAAAATGACAAATAATGTATCAATTTAAGTGTAAAAATGGTAAGTAAATACAGCGATAAATGGTATTTAAAATGATAAATAAATACCATAAATTTCAGAAAAATTTTATATATACTATAATTTTTAAAATTATATTTTTCTATATAAAATCGTAAATCTGATAAAAATATTATTAAAATTTTTGATTTTATATTAGAAGAATATAATTGGTTATAAATAAAAAAAAAAGTTCTGAAATATTTTTTATCACAGTAAAATATTAATATTATAATACTTATATTTTGATTCTTTTTAGCTAAGAAGTTGTTTAAAACATCGATATACGTAAGTTAACGTAACAAAGAAAGTCATAACGTTTTAACTCTCCGTGAACAAAATAGTCTGTACCCCAATATCGATAACTACCCAATTGTGCGGACTCCAGAGGTTCGTTTCTGATATAATCAGGGAATACGCAGGGGTGCTACTAATTGTAATCGTATAATACAGTCGAGGGGTGACGAGCATCGCAAAGAATTGATTCTGGTTACGTTAATATAATCAGAAATTCAGGATCCGCTCGTCCCTTTCCTTATGAAATATGTACCATGGGAGATGTTTGTATTCGTATCTTATTTATTGACCATCCAACGATCATGAAAACTCATCTACACGATCCAAATATTTCTCGCATTTCAGAATTTTTAGATAAATTATGAAGTTTTTATGAATTGTAAGAAACTTTTTCTAGCAACAGATTTTATAATACATTTCATCTATTGGAATTAATAGAGGTAGGCATATATTAATTATATTTTAATTCTCATACAAGTATCTCAATTCTTCTAATTGTTAATTCAATTCTTTTGCCAAATTATTGGCAATATATATACAGAAATTCTTAACTTATAAATTCAACAGCTCTTATAACTTTCAGTACACATATAATATTACGCAGTATAATATTAATATGGTATACTATACTTTCTATAATAGAATTGCAATGAAGTGAGAGCAGTTCAGCGGCAGTGTATTGAACATCAAAGATAAGAATAGAAGAAAAAAAGGATTGGTAAGCATCGGTGGTCTATTGCAGAGAGAATCTATGCGCTTTAAAAATGAACAAGATCGCACTCGCTTGAAAAGGCATCCATTGACTTTCCTTTCAATGGCCCGTACAAAACGAGCGCGCGGTATCGGTGCGGCGATGAAGTAGAGAGCGTGCGTAATCAATCAGTTTCATAGAAGCATGGAAGTCTAACGCGTTAATACCCAATAGAAAACTATGAATATATGCGTAGTTACCGACAAACGAAGATTCGGCTGAATGTAACGCGTAAGATGAATATTGGATAGGCCGAGTAGATATATGTGTTATAATATGCTTCCACTGGATAGATATAACAATATTCATAGTTGACTGGATGAGAAGCGCGCACGTGCATCTATACAAATGGTTTTGGAATTATAATATTTAACACAATTTTTATAAAGATAAAGATTTTGGATAATGATGTATCGAGAATATTCGAGTGTTTTGTGGAATGGCTATGAATAATAATCAGAAAAATTACGTATGTATTGATTATGATTTCATTTTATTCAACATATTATTTTATAATGATATAATCATAGATTATTTATTGATAAACTAAAACTTATAAGAACTCTTAAGGCTTAATTAATAAAATTTTTAATTTTATTTTAAGATAAAAAGTAACTCTTCGTTCGGAGAATTATTACCTAATAGGCCTGTATTTTTGAAACACTCTATACATGTATACTATATAGTATATTACGCCACTGACGAACGCATTGTGCTAGCGTAGCGAGTAAACGAGTCACGCTGCGTCACGTTCTGGCCCACCACCGCAGCAGCAGCAACAGCAGCAGCCCTTCTCCTTTTGTACGAACACCCCGCCGCTTTTCAGCCCGGCCTGAATTACGTTACGCCGCTTTACTATCGGCCAGTTTATATTCGAGGTTTATGCGGACCTCGGCTAGATACACGTGAATAGCGTTTTAATCGAATCGCGCCGCAGCCGCGTAATGATATTTGCTCCCTTCCTTTACCGAGCTCTCGACTCTATATCATGGAGGAAGAATCCCTTTTCATTTTTTTCTTTTTTCGATTTATCTTTGTTTTTCAACATTTGTTTGTTTTCTGTTGATTTGCTTGATAGAAATAGAAGTCTTTAACAAGTCTGTACATTGAATTTTGAGCTCTCCAATTGGATCGGATATGATTGTAAATTTGAAATGTGTAATTTTCTTTATTTATTAATACTGATATAATAATTAAAAAATATAAAAAAATATTCATAGATAATTTCATTTTTTATGAATAATATTATTGAAAAAAAAATGTATTTCAAAGAAATCTGTAATATAAACGATTTAATATATTAATTTAACAAATACCAATATTTAAATTTTCAAATTTACCGTATAAATATATTCATAACCATTTTACTTACATGCGCATGGTCTTCTAACTTTATTTCAACTACTCGACACGTCAATTTACTTGCGCACGAAAAGTGAATCGAATTTTGTGCTCGAGGACAGAGATGAAAACTCTTGAAATATTCGCACATGCCTGCTCATAACTTAATGGAGTTGACAAGTCGTCGACGAGAATGATGGACTGCGTTGGATCGAGGGGTTTCTCGCAACCCCAACGCGGGGATAAAAACGGATTCGCCACGGGCAGCTGTGGCGGCGCTACTATGCTCGCCTTCTAGCTCATTTTCCTCCTCTTTACTTTTGGGGGAAATCAACTCTCTCCCATCCGCGTAATCGGTTTTTCTGTTGTGCCACTTAAACAAGACAGCATTTGCGCACATGCGTGTTTTACATGAGATCCGTATCCCGAATTATGCGCGGGACGAACCCTCATCGGAACTTCGAGAAGCGAAAACCACTTTATTATATGGCCGTCAAAATTTTCATTCATATTCATTTTATCTCGTCACGGTTCTTTAATGCTATACAATGTTCAAAATACAGCTATGAATTATAAATTAACGGTAAAAAGATAGGACTTTAATGTTATCTTTAAATTATCTCATTTTGTTGAAATTTTAAAAATATTAGAATATATATGATCAATACATATAGTATAAAAAAATGTATATGTATATAAAATATATATATATATTTAAAAAATATATTTCATCATCTTTTCTTTTTTTTTCTCATTAAGATCTTAGATATTTTCATAGATTATTATAAATGCTTATATTTATTACAATTTGTAAAGTAAATATAGATAAAGAGAGCAAATAATAAGACAAGAACGGAGATAGGTTAAAAATTGTGAAATCAGCGCCATCTCCAGAGTGCCGTAAATGAAACACATAAAAAAGGATAGAAAACAATGAGACGAAGATAGATATAGGATAGAATTGACTACTAGCGTCATCTATTGAGTAAAAATATTTCTTCAAAAATATAGTAAAATAAAATAATAACTGAAATATTATAGACTAGATATAAATAAAGTAGACTATGATTATAATAAAATATAAAAAAATCTTTTTAAAAATACTCAAAAGATGACACTAATCTTTAATTCTTATTTTATTTTATCTTGTTTTTGAAAAGATTTCTTTGACATTTGAGAGATGGCGCTGACTGTTAATTCTTATTTAGCTTATCATTTTTAGAGAGAGATATTTTTGGTACTCAAGAGATGGCGCTAAGTGTCCCTTTTATTCAATCTCTATCTTTTTCTTTCCATTTTCTATCCTTTTTTATGTGTTTCATTTACGGCATCTGGAGATGGCGCTGATATCACAATTTTTAATCTATCTCCGTTCTTGTCTTATTATTTGCTCTCTTTGTCTATATTTAATATGTAAAATTAATTTTATAAGGATAATGTAAACACTTGTGACAATCTATAAACTGAAAATTTTAAAGTTTTTTTAATAAAAAGAAAAAAAATAATGGTTTGTACATTTTTATATATCATGTATATATTTTATATTCAATATTTTTGTATTTCTATTCGGCATTTTAGAAATGTGATGATAATATAAAATTCCATAAAATTTCATAATTATTCTATGATTATATGTATTAATTTTAATAGTTATGATTTTTTATTTATCAAACTTACTAGTAAATCAAAATTTTTTTCTTTTATTAATTGTTTTTCTAATATACTTAAATTATAAAATATATGATGAAAATTACGTTAAAATATGAAATCTAACCTAAAGTAAATCTAAAATAATATTGTAAATCTATAATAATAGTATATAAAATTTAAAAAATGAATTGATTTATTTTTATATATTTACTAAAAAGTGTATATTTTTCATATTAAATTCAAAATTATGAACAATTAATTAGAACAATAAATTTAATAATTAATTCATTTTTACAAATTAATTATTCTTTTTTAAAATTAAAAATAATAAAATATGAAAGAATATTTTAATCATATTGTTATATTAAAATTAATGTTTATGTTAATTTATGCATTTGATATATCTTACCATAAATTCTTTTATTTATTTATTATTATATTTGATACTAATCATGATGCTTACGTTAACACATTTATATTCCATCGATCTGCAAAAAATTGTAGGAAAAAAGTAGATATAAGAATATATTTCTTATACTACTTTTATTTTTCGATAGACATGCATTTCATAAGAATGAAATTTAATGAAATAGGAATAAACGTAGAATCTAACTCTTCGAAAATATATGTAATACGAGCAAAAATGATTAAAAGATAATAATAATCGAGTTAATTCATGCAACGATTACCTAATCGATCTCTGACTTTCAATTTATTGCGAAAATATTGTCTGCATTATCTTGTTGTCATTGAATATCATAGCTTAAAAAGGACAATGTTAGAAGATTGTAAAAATTATGATGTAAAATTTATAATTTCAAGGTTCTGAATACACTCTCTTGCTAATGCTTGAGCAACCGGTTTTCTTGGATTCTACTAATAGTCTGACAAAGTAGCATCTCTTTCACAACTTGAATACAAAAGAAAATAAAATTTGAAGTTTATTTAGAATTATAGACGTTGAAATAAATTATGAGGTAAGTCATTTTTATTTAAAAATCTGTAAAATCTTTCAATGAATCGAATTAACAATTTATATTTTTTATGTAATATCGATTCTAACTTTAAACTTATTTGAACATTCTCTTTTAAAATACTATAATATTTAATATTGCATATTAACATTAAATGGGGCCGGTCTTATTTCACATTAGTTGCTCAGCAAAAGGGCCGAATTCACTTTCACAAACTGGTGCCAGTGAAGTGAAGGACTTTTTTTCCGAAACGAAATCTTGTTGCACCTGAAAACATTGCCAATTCAATAAACTCGAGTATTGGTTTAATAGAATTTTTTCCACCAATAACAAATGTCTTTGTTCAAAAACGTTGATGAATAACTTGAAATGGTGTGATGTGCTGAATCGTGAGTAATATAACCTTCACCCTTGCCTCGTTTCACCGACTAGTCATTTCTCTTTCGATAACCAACTAATTATTAACACCGTAGTTTTTCTGGTTATTAGTCTTTATATGATAATAAAACTACAAAAAAAGAGAAGAAGAAACTTTTTTCATTATTAGTTTAATTTTTTTTATTCGATTTGTTTTTCTTCAAATGTTATTAGAGAAGTTAACTATTCAAGATTCCAGATTATTATATTATTGAAAAGAAAATGATAAGATTGCGAAAGGAAATTCTCAGATAAAATGTTTTACGTATTTAGCACGTTTTTTCGACATCATATTTTTCCCAATACAATATTGTTTTAATTCTTATGAGTTAGATATGCCGAATTTGATTGTACAACTTATCAAAAAATTATCAAAATAAAAATACACTTTCAAATTCCTAAAGTTTAAATAACTCTACATCACAAACTTTTTTATTTAATTTTTTATGCAAAACATTTTTGTTTCTCGCTACTAATAAAAATATTGAATCATACATATCATATCAATATATATATAATATTAATAACGAAATATATTTTCAGATTCAAGAAATCGGACAATGGTATACTCAAATATCAAAAGATATAAATGAAGAAAGAAAAAGAAAAATCGAAGAAAATCACGTAACGCGTCGTAGTGTTATTTAACTTCGATTAAACGTGTTCTTTTGCATCGAATCACCGAGTCGATTCGCACGATATCCATAGTCATTTCTTTTCCGGCCAGTCGTGGTATCAGAACTTTCACGCTCGAAATGTTGGCCAGCCATTGCGAAATCAGATGATATTTACACAACCGTGCCGACTTTTCTCACTCGTTCACTTTAATAAACACGGGCTAATTATCGTAGAAATTTTAACTATTATAACAATTCTTGCAGGAAGAATTGCAGTTGGATTACATATCGGATGGGTCATTAGTATTCCTCAAGGTCGTGATCGTCAGAATATATACCATACATGCTACGTCTGTGTAAGATAGATCTCGAGAGAGGGTGTATTTTGCTGGTATGCGCATCTTAATTAAATACATTTATCGTTCAATGCGTTTCACAAATAAGAAATCCGAGTATGTGATTTATTTTTGGAAGATAATTTAATTCGTATTACAATGTCGAATAAATAAAAATCTATTTTACGAAACGATTTTGCAAGTGGAAAAATTTTGATGAGAAATATAAAAAAAAATTTTTTAAATAGGTTTATGGGTTGAGTTATTGCCTTGATAAAATATGGTTATTAAAGATTGAGTAATTGATAAATGGAACATTACAATTTTTTGGGATTTTTGGCAATTTTCATGATTATAATTTGTTAAAAATTAAGTGAAAGTATATAAATGATGTGTAAATGAAACATTATTAAGAAATATGTATATAATATGATGTATATATTGTATATATTACTTTGTCAAAGTACAAAAAATATATTAGAATAATGGATATAAGTCTATTACATAAATCACATGAATTGATTTTTTTTTTAATTTTTTTGAGCGACATGAGCTTTTATAGTTTAAAATTCAGAATCTATTGACATAATTACCGATTTTGTAGAGACTTCTGTTGTCAACTGAATGTGAATCCCTTTCACCAGCAATCTACATGCTTATGTAATTCATTGCGAATTATTGGAGTGGTCAATATCCTTAAACAAAGTTAATCTCTAAAATAAGAATTCAATAAGTAAAGTAATAAGTATAAAATAAATGAAATGAATTAAAAATAATGAAGTATAATCAAATTTAATCAAAATATATATACTAAATCATCATATATTACAAATAATCAAATCTTACAAAAATATAGAATATGAAAGAGAATATGAAATTATTATTATATATTAATTAAAAATATAATTTTATTCAATTAATAAATAATAATAATTTTTAAATTGAACATATAAGTATCTTTAATATTAAAGAAATACTATTATCATAATTACTGTTATGTAAAAATTTCTCTAGGTATTAAGTGGTGGTATCCTTTCTCAAGACAATTTTCTAAATAAACGGCAAACTAGCAATGAGAAGGTGACTAATAAAAAGATCGTTGATTCCATTTAGAACGAATGAACGTGAGAACGGAAACAAGGGCCGAAGGTGCCACGGTTTAGACTTCATTGTTATCCAAGAAACTGCGGGAAGAAGAGCTATCGTAAGAAGGAAGCTTACGCGTAATGAGGCAAATCAGATCGGCTGATTACGAAATGTGAGATCGCTTACCATTTCTTGCAACAAACTCGATAAAGTTTCAAAAGTGAAACGATTACCACATTTCTTATTCCCTGTTTTGTCGTGTACATATTTACGATGTTTTTGTGTCACCTCGATTACCGTGGTAATATTTTTTTAAGTATATATCGATATTCTGCAATTCAAAAAATTTTAGAATTTTTCTTCTTATTGTGAGAATAAATTTTTCATAATCAGTGTCAAACATTGCACACAATCCGATCTATGTTGTCCTAATAAACGAATAAAATCAATTTATATATTTATAAAAATGAAAATAATAAGAAAAAATTTATTTGAATTGAAATATTTTTCTATATTTTAAGGAATTATTTGTTATTAAATAATAAACTTAGAAATTTAATAAATTTCTTAATAGATAGTAATTTAATATTTTATTTAAAAAATTTATAAAAAGTGAAGTACATATATGCAAATGGATTATATAGATTATATATGTTATATATATGTAGATTATGTTGATATTTATTTTCAAGTATTTACTTTGATACTTTCGATATCAAGAAACAAATTCATTCTTTTGTTAAAAAATTGAAACCACGAATGCGTAATAGGAAATGATCTTATCATGTTCGAGTTAGTCATGCATCTCTCATTTAATGTCATAAAGATTTCACACGTTTTAATATAAAATAATCATTATAATAAAATTGTTCATTTTTAAATCATATAAATTCAAATTTGAAAATTCTCATGTTGTAAACATAAAAAAATCCATTATTTGATTAATATAAATAGCAAATACAATTGAATATTAAATAATTATTTTATTTAATATTATTTTTGAAAAATAAATGATACTTTATACTTATTATGATACTTTGTAATTTTATATTTTTGATTATTTATAATATTTGATTATTATAAGATTTATATTTTTATTTAATTAAAATTTATATGATCCATAATTTTTTCTCATTTATTTTTTCTAAACGAAGAAAACTATAAATAATGCACTTTATTTCTTACCTACCATCTTCTTCCTATCATTTTCTCTTCCTTCCTCATCTCCATCATAAATCGATTTAAAATATGGATTTTTGAACATTCAGAAAACTTGTTCTTCCCTGTGGTGCAGTGCTCAAAAGACAAAATGGAAGCGCCTATACCACTTAAGGATTCATATGATTCAGACAAGGATTGATCTTGTCAAAAAGAATGAAAAAAGGATACATCTTATCTATCGTTTACCACCCACCGCGAGGTTAGAACCTTCGTGTCCCTCCCCTTCCTGTCATCTCCCACCCTCACTCTACAAGCAATGTGTACGTGATGCACGCGCGCGCACACATTCGTTTATTAGCGCCTTATGAGTATACGATACTCTACACATACGCGCGCGCATTTACCGGCGATCGTTCGCCACAGCAAGTAGATACGAAATAGCGGCCGCAGTCGCGAAGGCTCGCTGCTCATGGTGAGATCGTGGTCTGTCGTGATCGAGAGCAGAACACGGTGTCGATTGTGATCGATCGATCGATCGTTGTCAGTGGTAGACGCGGTCGATTCCTATCGAGACAAGGAGAAGGTATACGAGAAACACGCCGCACGTGTGAACGCACAGTTTGGATCAGGGCTTGAAAAAGAATTCTGCGTGAGTTCGAGACATCGTTTCTTATCGATTGATTTGAAGATTCGATTATAGATTGATGATTGCATCTACAACGAACCAGTCAAACGTGTGTGAAATAAAATACCGCGAAAATTACCGGTGCGATTCTGCGCGGTGACAGCTTGTGATCTGCGTACAATGAGTCAATATATTAAATTCATTTGTTGTATTAAATTCAAAAATATAAAGAAAGTATTAGGAAACTGAATAAGTTTGATTATTTCACTGAGTGATTCTGAGTAAATTAGATTAATAATGTGATGTACGATCGTGGTGAGGTTAAGCGGATGTTTGTTATTTGGTACAGGACGGAATAACTTGAAATGCAGAACGAGTGAATCCAACGAACAATAATGATTTTATGAGAAAATCTACAAGAAATGCTTATACATTTTGTTGGATCTGTGTAATTGCAATATCGAAAGGATAAAGTGTGAACAAGAAGAAATGGAGAATCCTTGAAACATTTAGGTAAGATTTTTTTTTTGTTGCATATGTTCCATAATTTTATCGACATGATACGATGATTTTAATATTAAAAAAATATAAAAAGATATAAAAAAATACTTGACTGTTTAATTATTAAAGTAATTAATCAGATAGATAATTATAATATTGCATTTTTAAATCTCAATAATTTTTACGTAATTAGTTTCTCAAAGAATAATGCGTTTTTTTAAAAAGTGTAGGAAAAAAAGTTCGTTATTATTTAAAATTATTCTGAAATATATTCAGAATTCGATTTATTTTTAAAGTTATTTTTGAATTATTTGAAAATTCATTATTTTGAAAATTCAATATAAATATCTTATTTGAATAGAAAAATGAAAGAAGGGTGAAGACGAATATGCTAATATAAGAACATGTTCTATCGTGAGAACGAATGGCTGAGTACATACGTGCTGTTTACAATTCATGTTTTCAAATTCGCTATTCAAAACGATATTTTTCTTTGTTAGATGTTTTGTAGTTATGAATGATCAAAGTAGATAAACAAAATTTATGATAATATTCCATTTCATATCTCTTACGTAAATGTAAATATGTAGAAATTTTTAATAATTGAATTACATTTTAAAATCGTTTACATATAATTTTGTTAAAATCTTTTATCTTATGGTTTTATTAAAAATACAGGACATTTTTAATAGATTTGTTTGTCGATTTTATAACATGGAAGATATGATTTTGTACATAATGGAAGGTTAAACAAGAGATTAATTATTATTCAAGATTGAATAATATCATTGGAATTTACTGTTGTTTTTATTTAAAATGCATATTTTTCATCGTAAATGATAATCATTGATTATCAATAATTTAGCATTTTAACTAAAAAAATATTGTGATGAAAAAAATTATTTTATAAATCAAATATGTAAATATATGCATGTATAAATATATATGTATAATATCAATAATATTGAAACAAGTGTATTTATATTTTATCAGTTTAAGTTAGATTTTTTAAGGAAATATTCTTATCGCAATAATCAATATTATATAATATTATTAACATATGTTATTATAATTAAGTATTTTATTTACTTAATTATAATATTTTCATTTAAGAATTATTTTTCTATTACACGATTTATAATTTTACTTTAAATAGAAAGTTTCTTTAAAAAAAAGTATAAAAAATCTTAAAAAAAAATTGCATCTTTGTAATTTACAGATATATATAATATTTTAAACTTTCGGTTATATTCAATATGTATATATATCCACACTAAATAGCAACATAAACTAACCTATATTCAAATTACACTTGACCGTAATAATACGGTAAATAACTTTCAACAATTCTTTCATATGTTTCGACCTTATGGAACTGATTTGTTAGCCACTTGGCAAAGTAGGCCTCCATTCAGGAAGTAGATTTACCATCGAAATCGAGGTGCACGCATATACACGAGCCACACGTGAGGCTACTGTTCGAACATTGCATATCGACTTACCTAACGCGTTATTTAACCTCTCATTGCATTAAACGTTGGGTTATGTTTCACCGAAATCCTATTCGAATTGTTCACAGTGATCGATGATCGATGCTCGATATTTAATGCTCGAATAGCGGATTTAATAATCGATTGTTACAGAGAATTAATCTGCATTTATATCGAATGTACTTAACCTATGTGCGTTGTCATATTTCAAATAATAACGAAGGAACAATATATGGAACATATGATGTCGATCGTGAATGAATGCTTTAATCACATATTTTGTTATTATAAAGGAATAGTGAATAGAATATGAAAGAATGTTAAAAAATTATATAACAAGTTTTAGAAATTTCACAAATAATAGATTCGAATGCAATGAATGATTCGAATAAATTTTAGAAATAATAAATTCGAATATAGTGAAACTATATAGTTATTCAAAAGAACGAACCTCAAAGTATTTATAATAGCAATAATTACTAGGCTGAAGAGCCTACTGAAAGTTGGATTGCGGCAATTCAGCCTTGGTCTCGTTGTGCTTAGGGGATTATTAGGCTCATTCGTTAACTGTGTATCTTCGTACAATTTTAAAATTAGATTTCGATGTCGTGAATATCAATATTTAATCAATAAAACAAACCATAATGTTTTCTTTTATAATGTAATATATTCTAATAGATTTTTCTTGCAATTTTGCATTAGTTAATAAAAATTAATATTTTCAAAATTAATTCAAAATTAATTCAAAATGTTAATGTATATATATATTTTAGCTCATGATTTTTAAAATAATGATAATGATTGCAATAATCATATCTGGTAAGAATATATGAATATCTAAATGTAAATTATTAATAAATTTGATTGTTATCCTTGAACACATGTGCTTAACACGTGCAAAAACAAGGATTTTGATTTATGTAATATACATATGTTCAGATTCATATGAAAGCTGCAATTTAGATTAATAGTTCAACAGGCTGCGAGTAAAGTAATCTTACAAAGAAGGACACGAATGGAATGAACACTTGAACAAAATTATATTAAAATATAATAAAAAATAAGTACAAATAAACCTTATTATAATTTCAACTGACTTGTTTAGAAAATACTACGATACTTAAACGGATTTAATTGCAGCAATCTAATTAATAGTCAGTTCGGACTTTCTGTTGATTTCTTAATTGAATTTAAAATTTTCCAGCTATACTGCTCTCTCTATTTTACATTTTTTTTACATTGTAGTATTATTATCTGCATTATCTTGAAATGAATCTAAATATGAAATAATTCAATTAAATATCGCGAGGATCGTTGATCGAAAGTTGCTTAATGTGCAAACGAATTTCGAAATAGAGGTCAAATTTTTCGAAATCATTCAAGGATAACTTTTGCATTCGTTTTGAAGGTGAATAAAATATGAGTCAGGGTCGAATATCTATAAAATTAAAGTCCGCATCTTTTTTCTTTTTTTTTTTTTTTTTTTGTTTTTACTGAAAGTGAAAAATTAAAAACACGCATAATTTAAAGAAATATCAAATAAATATGATACATAATTCTAAAAGCATTTTATACAAAATCGATTCACGTTAGAAGAGGAGCAATTCGTTTGGCAATCAATTATCACGATTTTATTTTATTACACTTCTCTATAGCAATTCAATTCGATTAGGAAAGTACTCGCGTCATATAATAGAAATTATTCCATACACGTTGCTCAATATACAGAATATTTAGGACGAGTTAACGATTTCGTTGAAGGTGTTCGTTCGTGTATAAAATCGCTATTCTTACGTAAAAAAAAATAGAGGAAAAAATTACAATAAAACAATGAATCAGCGATCTGTGAAACCCTATTAATGCAAATCGATTACAAGAAATCAAATTTCTATCTCGTTTATCAAATTCTTTTCCTTAATTTTGAAATCTTCTTAGCTCAATAGTGTGAGACATATACATAGATACGTATATCGCAAATTCCATCAATGTTCCTTAAATCAATTCACAAAGATCATATAATCTCTTCCATTTGCACCACGTGTACAGCTACAATACATATGCATATCCGTAATAAAACCATAACGAATTTAAAAAAGTCACGCAGTCCTCTAGTCACCGCTGGCTTATTTAATTTCCTTCTGAAACAAAGTATAGTTTGTTATGAGTCAGCGATAACTAATCACAACTGACCACCGGTACGCGGGTTCGTTAGAATCAACAGGTTGCCCCCATCGATCCGTAGATCTCGCGATACGCAATGCTCGCAGGTGTAGCGGGAACACCCTTAAAGCGAGAACGAAAAAACTGGCTGTGAAAAAAACCGCTATATTCTCTTTAAAACTTTTATCAACTGGTATCGCGCGACGCACGCACTTTCACATCTATCATACGTGTATACGATACGATAATACAAACGTATACACGCGGTATCGATACACACGGATGTGTAGACATTGCGAGAATATATGGGAAAAGCGAGTCGGAACGATTTACAACCACGTGGTACGATTGCGGGTGACCGTCCTTATACCACTTACCTAGATTTTCAACCAGGAACAAACGGCTCGGAATAGTACCGGCGAGAACGACAGGATTTTGCAAGAAAAATACCAGGAACTTGTACTTTCATGCCGAGGTAAATCGACGACCTTACGCACGAGATTGGCCGAGATCAATCGATTTGTTCGTTATCCGTGAAATATCGATACTACTGTGAATACATTTGTATATCGTGATCGA